GGGGGGGGCTTCCTTGGAGAATGTCAAGAAGGGCGTCTCGCTGTCAACTCGCACCCTCGGTGCTTTCTTGTCATATCTCCATTTTTAACAGTAAAAATGTTACTTCTTCTTAAGCTCACTCTTTGTTGGGAACTGTTTTCACTGTTATTAAAAATGGAGATACGACAGAAAGCAACGAGGTCGCGAACTCATGCCGTCTCGCCGTCGCCGACTCGGGTTGAGCGGTTTGCGTGACGTCACCCGACGGGACTGGGGACAATTTTAAATAGCCATTTCAGAGCTGGTGCTTCACGGTAGACAAAAACTAATTTACATTTTTTAAATCAACGTCGTCAAATTACGGTGGCAACAGAGCAGAAATACATTTTAAGCAATATTTTAGGAATTTCGAGGTTTTCTTTATCCCCAAATAATGCTTCATAAATACCAGCTGTTTTGTGGTGTGATTTTTTTCTTATATCTAGATCTAGCCTTTAGGCGCCCTCTGTGTGGAGTCAAGCTGACACCTACTGGCGCCTGTCCGTGTTGATCTTCAGCCGCTTAAGTTTCGGAGTTCTCTATGTTATCGCCCTTACAATGACAATGTCACGTGTGTGTTGCAGGGCAAAGTGGAGGCGGAGCTACACCTCATGTCCGTGGAGGAGGCGGAGAAACATCCAGCAGGTCTGGGCAGATCGGAGCCGGACCCTCTGGAGAAACCCAAGTAAATTGAAGTTTAGTTTTAGTAAGAGTTTTACGGCACTTGCAACACAGTTAGGTCATAAAAGTGCCGAATATATATGTTTAAGTTTTTATTTTTTTAATTAAAATTTTTTTTTGATTTTTTAGTTTTTGATATTTTTAGTTTTTAATGCGTTAAGTTTGTTTTTGTTTTTTAACGCTATCTGTACGTCATGTTTCCTTATCGTATCATACGACGTGGAGAGCTCTGTGCAAACACTTTTCAAAGACAAAAATTTAATCGTTAATCCGATCCGTACGCTTTGCATAGCAGTCTTTCAAAATGATTTTTTGAGAAATACTGAAAGTTTAAAAGAAGTTTTCTTACTAGAAGTATTCTAAAATGCGAAGAATATAACCCCGGGGGTACAAAATGACCCCAGGGCGTACGGCTAGCGTTAAAGTTTTTAATGTGAGTGGTGTCGGTGGTCTAGTGGTTAGGATCCTGGACTGTTCACTCTAAGGCCGTGGGTTGGAACCCGTGAGGGGCCGACGTTGTGTCTTTGGGAAAGGCGATTTGCAGGTACGTTCCTCACTTCACCCAAGTGGGAATGTATGGGTACTCGGATATACACAGTGAAAGATCTCTGTCAGTATATTCGTGTTTGAGCGCTAAATCGGCTGCTTGCTTTGTGTGCTTTCTGGGAAACCGAGAATGTTCCTGAGTTCCCTGGGGTCTGCTGGGGTAATAACAATGTTAATTTTAAAGTGCATATATATAGCTTGCTGTTGAGCGGGGACATGAGCAATACAAATGCCATTTATTATTATTAACGTTTTCATTGACTGAAGACGCATATTCTAGTCATTAACACCCTATCCGTACATAATGGGGTCGTTTCGTACCCCCGGGTTGTATTCTTCACATTTTAGAATACTTCTAGTACGAAGAACTCTTTGAAACTTTCAGTATATCTCAAAAAATCATTTTGACAGACTGCTATGTAAAGCGTACTGATCGGATTAACGAGTAAACTTTCTCTTCGGAAAGTGGTGGCATGGACTTCCCCACGTTATATGGATACGATATTAAAACACGACGTACGGATAGGGTTAAACAACATTTGAAGACGTGCAACTTTGGAGGCCTTAAAAAAGAAGCAAAACTTTTTTATTCATTCAGATTTTGGTCTACTCGTACATTCTGTATTTTCCATCGGAAACTGAAAGAGGCAAACAACATGCATACTATGAAATAGATGCGTTTTTGATTTGTATATGATCCTTTCGAATGTGGCTCAAGTTTGAAGTAAAGGGGTGTAGCTATACAGAGGTGGAGACGGGTTTTTCCGAGATGGGACGAAGGGAGAGGGCTAATCTGTCGTTTCGTTGATTTAACTCTTTTTTAAATACCTGTCATCCAGCGTTTTTATTGGAATTTTTCTGTTTCGCTTTTCAATTGACTAACGATATTATCCTTCACCTCCCCTCCATCCACCCTCTACCTCACCCTCTCACCCTCC